TTTTTTTTTTTTCAAATTTCTGTATGATTTTTGGATTGGTTGAGCTCTGTAGATATCCACCTTGATTATTTGTGTTCGATGCTCTTTTCTTTTAGTCACTCTTTTTATGCTGTTTCTTGATAAAATTGCTCTGAGATTATGTGCAGAAAGGAGTGCGAGGAGTACTTTTCCAGATTTGATAAACTTTGTAGCTGCGACATTAAATGGTTTTCGGAGAGTGTTTTGCTCACGTTGCTCCGATGTTCTTTGAACGGGGCATAGCTAAGCCTGAAACAAAGGTGCACATTCTCATTCACTTTGACTGTGTCATGAAGAAACTAAATGATGAGTGCTTGAAAGGGTGTAAATATTTATTTCATTATTTTCAGTATGCTCCGCTAGGGAGACGTTTGTTTTTGAGTTAAGCACATATGCACGAGAAGATAACTGATTGTGTGCATCGAAGCCATGTTTTGGCTGAACTGATTGTGCATTTTGAGGCTATGTTTTTTTTTTTTGCTGCATAATACGTTTTTAATCGTGCAAGTTTGCTATGTGAATTCAATGCGTGGCAAAAGATTGAAGAAAAATGATGGATTAGCCGGCATTTATGTTTGGGTCGGGCATTTATGCATTTATGTTTTATTATCGTGTGTTTGATAGTTGTATTAGCCGGCATATTTTTTCTCTCCTCTTGCTATTCAAGTGTCAAGACATAGGAATTATGTAAAACCGATCATTTAAGAACTACTATAGTTATATTCACCGTTGCTATAGTTGTTTTCACTTTACACAACAGGAAACATCAAGCTTGAGCATGGAACCCTGCGAAGGTGAAACTCTTGTAGTTAACACTTTTGAGATACAAAGATCAGAGGTATAAGCTAATCTGCCTTTGCTTCTAAAGATTAACTTTGAGCTTGAGTAAGTAACTGATTTATATTTGGGTTCTGCATTTTTAATGCAGATACCCTCTTTCATTGAGAGGGAGCATGAGTTCCGGTTTTTAGCTGTGAGTTGCATCATTACTTTTACCTGTTTGAAATTATATTTGTTACTTTGATAAAGTCACATGCTTTTCAAAGATAATACTTGACATGTTATGTGAATATGTTTTGCATTAGGTGACTCCAGAAACATTTAATGGGCTGCTTTACACAACTCCATCTGTAAGTGAGAGTGATTGATTACTGCTGATTTTCATTTTGTGTGTGACATCCATCTATTTTATTAATCCTGGACACTAGTGCAGGTACTATGTGCACGCTATAGTGATGAGGAATACTTCATGAACAGATGTGAAGGTGATATTCCAATTTCTTCATGTTCGTATATTTTAAGGATGTTAAAATAGGATCGTCTTTCAATCGTGTATTGGCTGAGCTTTTTATCGCCCATCCCATTTATTCAAAATGCCTACACAAGAGCATTATACTGTTTGCATATCCGGTGGCAGGCAATAAAGATATATTCTTTCAACGGTACGGGCGGTATGGCATTGACAAGATTTGGTTGGATGATATCTTACCCTGTCGCGTTTTATCTTCGCCATTGGTGGGTACTTTATGAATACTTATTCGCTTTCTTTTTGCTAGTGAAAATATTCCATTGCTGATGACTGTTTATAAAGATAATGCCTAAAAATGCACCTGCGGTTTTGATCCTTAATTACCAAAGAAACGTTGCTCCCTGTGTCTCATGTCGCACTAAAATGGGCTGGCTTTCCATTCTCATTCTTCGGGATTTATAGTTTTTTTTTTTTTTTTTTTTTCTTCTTCTTCGGGTATTTACTCTATTTAACAAATTTGGTTTTGGACTTCGGAGTAAATGAAATTCTCTGTATGGATTTATAGCAAGGGTAAAAACTAACATGGGATAAAAATAACAGCTCCAACATTGTTCAAATGTTTCTTGATCTCTGTATTTAATAAAAAAATCTTTCTCTGCAGATTTCGATGTTTACTATGGATAATTTTTGAATACTCTCCAGATTTCGACGCCGCAACGCCATTTTCTGTAAGTAATGTTGAACCAGTACAAGAACAACATACTGATAAATTGTCTTTTGAATAACGAAAGGTAAAATACGAAGTAACTAAAACTCAAGACAAGGTAAAATTCAACTGATAAAACTCAATTCAGCATCTTCGAATTTCATATGCACGCAGTACAAGAACGACATACCAATAAATTTTCTTTCGAGTACCCAAATGTAAAATACGAAGTAACTAAAACTCAAGACAAGGTAAAATTCAATTGATAAAATCCAATTTAGCATCTTCGAACTTCATATGCACACAGTAGAAGAACGACACATCGATAAATTGTTTTTTGAGTAACAAAGGTAAAATACAAAGTAACTAAAACTCAAGACAAGATAAAATTCAACTGTTAAAATCCAATTCAGCATCTTCGATCTTTATATGCACGCTTGTGAATCTGAAATCAATAATTCAAGAAAAACTAGGCAATGCAATAAAATAAACTAGGCAATGCAATAAAATAGAGAGTATAATAACAGTTAAGCAAATATCAAAACTTAAAAAAACTAAAATGATATTAGAACACAATTATTTTTTGAAAATCTAGTTCATACTAAATAAATCAATAAAACAGTAATAAAAGTTACATGATGAGACTTAGAAAAAAAAAATTATACCAAAAAAAACTTCAAAATAGGAACAAAAAGGAACCATCTAAAAAATGGGATAACAAATAAAAAAAATGAGCCAAAAAGGACATTACCTGTAAGAGAGGTTTTCAGGTTTTCTTTCTTTCATCACTGCAAGTGAGAGAAGAAAAATAATTTCAGTCTATTAACCAAATAAATAGAGATTGTTGTTTTTTTTTTTTCAACGATAAAATTATCATAGATTAATATAAATCAAGATCAAGTACATAGCGGGAATCACCCGAGAAAGCCGAAATGAAACTGAGAGCAACACCTACACGTGTACTAAAACTGACTCTAACAGGAGACTGAAGCTAGCCATATCACTAGAAACTCCAATACCTATCTACTAAGAATCAAGACCAACAACAATAACCAAGACTAGAGTGAACCTAAAACGAAAAAAACATCAAAACTCAAAATATTAATAAACAGCTAGAAGATAGAAGAAAGCTGATCCATCACTATTTGAGGCTACAGAATTCCTGCCATTCCACAAGAGCTCTCCTGCCACTGACTAAATTACAAAATCATTAATTGAGTCATAGAGAAGAATCCGTGTTTCATAGCTGATTAGATACAGAAGAATTTGTGATTAGAGCGAATGTTTGTTCAACTGATTAAATTAAATACGGAATAATCCGTGATTATAGCGAATGTTTGTTTAACTGATTAAAATAAATATATAATTAACCAAATTAATGTACCTCTATGTAAATTCCATTAGGGCCGTCAACTATGTCCCCACCATGAACAGCAACCAAACTCTGACGTAACAAATCAAGAGTGGTTGCCACTGGACCTTCTAGATCAACTGCATCCAGAGGAATACCTTCAGTTGTGAGTCTATTAGCAACATAATCTCTCAGCTGTGGCCCTGAGATAAGGTTGTCCATGTCATGGGAAAGCTGGATAAAGGCTTCAGAAACAGCCCTGAGAAATGCGAATTTCGCCATATGAGCACTGGCTAGAGGAGACTGCGGAGGAACAAGAAGTTGATAGGAGATTGAACAGGGGGATTGATAGGATCCTGAACAGGAGGAGGATTGATAGGATTCTGCACAGAAGGAGGATCGATAAAATCCTGAACAGAAGGAGGATTGATAAGATTCTGAACAGGTGGAGGATTGATAAGATTCTGAACAGTAGGAGGATTGATAGGATCCTACACAGGAGGAGGATCGATAGGATCCTGAACAGGAGGAGGATTGATAAGATCCTGCACAGGAGTAGGATTGATAGGATCCTGAACAGGATGAGGATCGATAGGATCCTGAACAAGAGGAGGATTAATAGAATCCTGCACCGGAGGATGATCGATAGGATCCTGAACAGGAGGAGGATTGATAGGATCCTGAACAGGAGGAGGATCAATAGAATCCTGCACAGGAAGAGGATCGATATGATCCTGAACAGGATAAAGATTGATAGGATCCTGAACATGAGGAGGATCGATAGGATCCTAAACAGGAGGAGGATTGATATGATCCTGAACAGGAGGAGGATCGATAGAATCCTCCACAGGAGGAGGATCGATATGATCCTGAACAGGATAAAGATTGATAGGATCCTGGACATGAGGAGAATCGATAGTAACTTGAACAGGAGTAGGATTGATAGGATCCTGAACAGGATGAGGATCGATAGGATCCTAAACAAGAGGAGGATTGATAGAATCCTGCACCGGAGGATGATCGATAGGATCTTGAACAGGAGGAGGATTGATAGGATCCTGAACAGGAGGAGGATCAATAGAATCCTGCACAGGAAGAGGATCGATATGATCCTGAACAGGATAAAGATTGATAGGATCCTGAACATGAGGAGGATCGATAGGATCCTAAACAGGAGGAGGATTGATATGATCCTGAACAGGAGGAGGATCGATAGAATCCTCCACAGGAGGAGGATCGATATGATCCTGAACAGGATAAAGATTGATAGGATCCTGGACATGAGGAGGATCGATAGTAACCTGAACAGGAGGAGGATCGATAGGATCATGCACGGAAGGAGGATCGATAGGATCTTGAACATGATGATGATCCATAGGATCCTGAACATGAAGAGGATTGATAGGATCCTAAACATGAGGACGATCGATGGGATCCGACACAGCAGAGATCTATAGGATCCTGAACAAGAGGGGATTGATAGGATCCTGCACAGGAGGAGGATCGATAGGATCCTGAACAGGAGGAGGAGTGAAAGGATCCTGAACAGGAGGAGGATCGATAGAATCCTGAACAAGAGGAGATTGATAGAATCCTGAACAGGAGGAGGATTCTATCGATCTCCTCTTGTTCAGGATTCTATCGATCCTCCTCCTGTTCAGGATCCTATCACTCCTCCTGTTCAGGATCCTATCGATCCTCCTCCTGTGCAGGATCCTATCAATCCTCCTCCTGTTCAGGATCCTATAGATCCCTGCTGTGTCGGATCCTATCGATCCTCCTTCTGTTTAGGATCCTATCAATCCTCTTCATGTTCAGGATCCTATCGATCATCATCATGTTCAAGATCCTATCGATCCTCCTTCCGTGCATGATCCTATCGATCCTCCTCATGTTCAAGATTCTATCGATCCTCCTCTTGTTCAGGATCCTATCGATCATCCTCATGTTCAGGATCCTATCAATCTTTATCTTGTTTAGGATCATATTGATCCTCCTCCTGTGCAGGATTCTATCGATCCTCCTACTATTCAGGATCCTACCAATCCTTCTCCTGTTCAGGATCATATCGATCATCCTCATGTGCAGGATTCTATCAATCCTCATCTTGTTCAGGATCCTATCAATCCTCATCATGTTCAGGATCCTATCAATCCTCCTCCTGTTCAGGATCCTATCAATTCTCATCCTGTGCAGGATCTTATCAATCCTCCTCCTGTTTATGATCCTCCTCCTGTGTAGGATCCTATCAATCCTCCTCCTGTTCAGGATTTTATCAATCCTCCACCTGTTCAGGATTCTATCGATCCTCCTCCTGTGCAAAATCCTATCAATCCTCCTCTTGTTCAGGATCCTATCAATCCTCCTCCTGTGCAAGCTCTTACCAATCCTCCTTTTGTTGTTCCTCTGCAGCCTCCTCTAGCCAGTGCTCATATGGCAAAATTCGCATTTCTCAGGGCCGTTTCTGAAGCCTTTACCCAGATTTCCCCTGACGTGGACAACCCTATCTCAAGGCCACAGTTGAGAGATTATGTTGCTAATAGATTCACAACTGAAGGTATTCCTCTGGATGCAGTTGATCTGTAAGGACCAGTGGCAGCCACTCTTGATTTGTTACGTTAGAGTTTGGTTGCGGTTCATGGTGGGGACATAATTGACGGCCCTAATGGAATTTACATAGAGGTACATTAATTTGGTTATTTATTTATTTTAATCAGTTGAACAAACATTCGCTATAATCACGGATTCTTCCGTACTTAACTTAATCAGTTGAATAAATATTCGCTCTAATCACGGATTCTTCTATATTTAATCAGTTAATGATCCGTAATAAATCACGGATTCTTCTCTATGAATCAATTAATGATTTTGTAATTCAATCAGCGGCAGGAGAGCTCTTGTGGAATGGCAGGAATTCTGTAGCCTCACATAGTGATGGACCAGCTTCTTCTATTATCTTCTAGCTGTTTATTAGTATTTTGGGTTTTGATGTTTTTTTTCGTTTTAGGTTCACTCTAGTTTTGGTTATTGCTGTTGGTCTTGGTTCTTAGTAGATAGGTATTGGAGTTTCTAGTGATCTGACTATCTCCTATTAGAGTCAGTTTTAGTACACATGTGTAGGTGTTGCTCTCAGTTTCATGTCGGCTTTCTCGGGTGATTCCCGCTATGTACTTGATCTTGATTTATATTTATCTATGAGAATTTTATCGTTGAAAAAAAACAACAATCTCTTTTGTTAATAAATCTCTTTGGTTAATAGACTGAAATTATTTTATTTTTCCATCTCCTCCAACCTTGCAATGACAAATTCTTCTCTCAATTGCAGTGATGAAAGAAAGAAAACCTGAAAACCTCTCTTACAGGTAATGACCTTTTCGGCTCATTTTTTTAATTTGTTATCTCATTTTTTAGATGGTTCCTTTTTGTTCCTATTTTGAAGTATTTTTTGGTATAATTTTTTTTTTTTCTAAGTTTCATTATGAACTTTTATTACTGTTTTTTTGAAGTATGAACTAGATTTTCAAAAAATAATTGTGTTCTAATATCAATTTAGGTTATTTGAGTTTTGATATTTGCTTAACTGTTATTATACTCTCTATTTTATTGCATTGCCTAGTTTATTTTATTGCATTGCCTAGTTTCTCTTGAATTATTGATTTCAAATTCATAGGCGTGCATATAAAGATCGAAGATGCTGAATTGGGTTTTAGCAGTTGAATTTTACCTTGTCTCGAGTTTTAGTTACTTCGTATTTTACCTTTGTTACTCGAAAGACAATTTACCGGTATGTCGTTCGTTTACTGTGTGCATATGAAGTTTGAAGATGCTGAATTGGGTTTTATTAGTTGAATTTTACATGGTCTTGAGTTTTAGTTACTTCGTATTTTACCTTTGGTTACTCGAAACACAATTTATCGGTATGTCGTTCTTGTACTGTGTGCATATGAAGTTTGAAGATGTTGAATTGAGTTTTATCAGTTGAATTTTACCTTGTCTTTAGTTTTAGTTACTTCGTATTTTACCTTTCGTAACAATTTATCAGTATGTCGTTCTTGTATTGGTTCAACATTACTTACAAGAATATCGGTGTGCATATGATGTGATCTTTTGCTAGTTAACTGCTTGTGTTTTTTATGTCTCGGTTGGTGGGGATCCTTTCGATAGGATCAGTTAATCAATTAACTGCTTCTGTATTTAATCAGTTAATGATTCGTAATAAGTCACATGTTCTCAATATTGCTCCTTATATTGTGGTTAGAGCTGATAAATGAAACTAGCCCCTTGTTGGCTTTGATTGGTTCGGCTCGTTAAGGTTCTATGAATGAGTCGAGAGGTAAATGCTCAAACTTTGGAAATTTTATATAATTTTTTATAAGGCTCAAGTTCGATCAATTATTTATATTGATAAAGGAGTCAAATTTGAGCATGCTTATGAGCTTGTTTAGTTAATGACTAGGTTACATCCCTTGGTCCTTCTGTTTTTAAGAAAAAAAAAAAAAAAAAAAAATCCTAATTAAGTAAACAATCCAGAATTTCCACAAGAATAGTCATTTTTTAGTTTGATGTTTTATTTGCTTCAAATTAGAAGCATATATATGGCTGTTGATAGATCTAACCATAGGTTGGCATACTTCTTTATAAATATACATAATTTTATTTTAACAAAAAAATAATTTTTTTATTGTGTAATTATTTATTTTTATTCACATTAGTTTCTTATTTTTGTTATTTCATTCAAATTTATAAGATACATTTTTTATTATTTTTGAGACGTGCATAGTAATGGGCTAAATTTATGTGATTATAAATATTTTGGACCAATATTAAAATATTTTCCTTTATCTACAGACAGACATTTTTCATTTCTGACTGCCCAACCAAAATTTATTATTTGAAATTCAGAACGAAATAATTTTTTTAACAAAAATATTATTCATCTTATTTCTTTTATTTGCAAACCTCACTACCAGAATTAATAAATAAAAAATAATAGGTATTGATACCCAATTTGGCTCCGACTATTTAAATAATAAACGAATTTATAAAATGCGGCCCAATAATCAAGGAGTCGAAAATACAAGGTAAATAAATATACAAACAGGTACACAAGACTGATCATCTAAAAAGCCGACTGGGTCCCTAGATGGCGAGTCTGCCTGTTGCCGAGCCGATCAAAATTTTAACAAGCCGCCCTCGGTAAGTGTCTCAATTGCTGACAAGACGGATGCCCGTCGAAACTGGCGAAAGTTATAAATGGACCCCCATGATGACTATTTGAGATATATAAAATAATGTATTATTATTGGTCCACTTGCAAGATGATAAAACATGTATATACATGCAAAAATAGGAGGGAGAAGGGGTCTTCTTCTCATTCCTCCTCTCTCCCCCAAGAACTCAAAAGAGAGAGCACTTCTCTCTCTAAAAAACAAGAAATAAAAACACTCTTTTTAATAGTTTTGTTCAAAAAATTCCTACAACGACTTATAATTGATCGTTGATCGTCCGATTTTCGACATCAACAATAGGTATTATATATTATCCAAAAAAAACACTATGTATCCATTTTTACATATTTCTAACTATCAATGTTATCAATTAAAATTTATTTTTTTTGTATATCACATCATATTTAATCATAGTTTTTAAACCCGGCCCGGTAATCGACTCGGGCAGGTCTTCGGGTCACCAGGTCACCGGTTCAACCGCCGGGTCACCGGGTCAAATGCTGAACCGGATAATTAATTTTAAAATTTATAAAATTATATATAGAGTATTTTGTGATATATAAATATACATAAAAACAACAAATTTAAATATTTTGTATGTAAAATTTATAGATTAAAGTGGTAATAATATGTATATATTTATCATATAAATATATATACATAATTTTATTTTTTAAAAAGAAAAAGAAAATTTAAAAAAAAAATACATATAGACCGGGTCAATCGGGTTGACCCAGCTGGGTCAATGCCTCGGGTCGACCGGGTCAAGGTCGGGTCGACCGGGTTTTGACCGGGTTTGACCGAGTCCGTTGTTGCCCGGTCCAATTAACCCAGCCGGACCGGTTCCGGCTCCGGGTCGACCTGGGACCGGGTCGACCCGCCGGTCCGGTCCGGGTCACAAAACACTGTATTTAATCATTAAATTTCTCTTTTTTATACATTCCCTATCTCAAACTTATCTCAAATTTTTTAAAAATATTTATTTATACTTTTATATCACTTTTTCAAATGCAGACATTTTTTTTTTTTTTTAAATCTTATAGCCAATTCCACCCTTATTGTTTAATTTAGAAATTGATCTAAAATGCACCCAAAAAGCAAGGCTATAAAATAATATATGAATAAATACTTTTTCAATCACTTTTTTGAAAAAAAAAAAAAAAGAAAAAATTATGGAAATTACATGCACATTTTAAACATGTCTACGCGTACCCTCCAACTCTCAGCCAATGGCAATTAGCTTAATCTTTACAAGTCTTGCACATTTTCCACGTGCTTCTCACCACCCGCGTGCCCCGCACGTGCCTTGCCCTTTAAATCACCCTCCGATCGCCGCCGTCTTCCCACGGCCACGTCTCTAGAAAATCATCCGCCGCCGCCGCTGCTCAACCATGGCCGTCTCCGCCGGAAGTTCGTACCTGCCGCCGGATGCGTCGCCTTTCGAGCTCAAAGGCGAGGCCGACTTCGACCGAATCGTCTCCCCAGATGGACTGATTTCGGTCTGCGGCTTCGGTTCTCTTCTCTCCGGTTCGTGCAATCGGCCAGCTTGTTTACTGTCCATTCTTACCCTTTATTTCCCCATTTTTATTTTACGTTTTAATTGTCGTGGAATTATAATGCTGCTCGAAAAAGTAGTTGCTTGAAGTGAATTTTTGGGGCGATTTTTTTTTTTTTTTTTTTTTTTCCATTTTCTGTATGATTTTTAGATTGGTTGAGCTGTGTAGATATCCACCTTGATTGCTTGTGTTCGGTGCTTTTTTATTTTAGTCACTTCTTTTATGTTAGTTCTTGATAAAATTGCTCTGAGATCATGTGCAGAAAGGAGTGCGAGGAGTACTTTTCCAGATTTGATAAACTTTCGAGTTGCGAAATTGAATGGTTTTCGCAGAGTGTTTGCTCATGTTGCTCCGATTTTCTTCGAACGGGGCATAGCTAAGCCTGAAACAAAGGTGCACATTCTCATTCACTTTGTGCCATGAAGAAACTAAATGATGAGTGCTTGAAAGGGTGTATATATTTGTTTTATTATTTTCAGTATGCTCCGCTAGGGAGACGTTTGTTTTCGAGTTAAGCATATATGTACGAGAAGATAACTGATCATGTGTATTGAAGCCATGTTTTGGCTGAACTGATTGTGCATTTTGAGGCTATGTTTTTTTTTTGCTGCATAATATGTTTTTAATCGTGCGAGTTTGCTATGTGAATTCAATGGGTGGCAGAAGACTGAAGAAAGATGATGGATTAGCCGGCATATATGTTTGGGTCGGACATTTATGCATTTATGTTTTATTATCGTGTGTTTGATAGTGGTATTGGTCGGCATATTTTTTTCTTCTCTTTCTATTCAAATGTAAATACATATGAATTATGTAAAACGGATCTACTATAGTTATATTCACTGATGCTATAGTTGTTTTCACTTTACACAACAGGAAACTTCAAGCTTGAGCGTGGAACCCTGTGAAGGTGAAACTCTTGTAGTTACCACTTTTGAGATACAAAGATCAGAGGTATAAGCTAATCTGCCTTTGCTTCTAAAGATTAACTTTGAGCTTGAGTAAGTAACTGATTTATATTTGGCTTCTGCACATTTTTAATGCAGATACCCTCTTTCATTGAGAGGGAGCATGAGTTCCGGTTTTTAGCTGTGAGTTGCATCATTACTTTTACCTGTTTGAAATTATATTTGTTACTTTGATAAAGTCGCATGCTTTTCGAAGATAATACTTGACATGTTATGTGAATGTGTTTTGCATTAGGTGACTCCAGAAACATTTAATGGGCTGCTTTACACAACTCCATCGGTGAGCGAGCGTGATTGATTACTGCTGATTTTCATTTTATGTGTGACATCCATCTATTTTATTAATCCTGGACACTCGAGCAGGTACTATGTGCACGCTATAGTGATGAGGAATACTTCATGAACAGATGCGAAGGTGATATTCCAATTTCTTCATGTTCGTATATTTTAAGGATGTTAAAATAGGATTGTCTTTCAATCGTGTATTGGCTGAGCTTTTTATCGCCCATCCCATTTATTCAAAATGCATGCACAAGAGCATTATACCGTTTGCATATCCGGTGGCAGGCAATAAGGAGATATTCTTTCAACGGTACGGGCGGTATGGCATTGACAAGATTTGGTTGGATGATATCTTACCCTGTCGCGTTTATCTTCGCCATTGGTGGGTACTTTATGAATACTTATACGCTTTCTTTTTGCTAGTGAAAAGATTCCATTGCTGACGACTGTTTATAAAGATAATGCCTAAAAATGCACCTGCGGTTTTGATTTAAATTACCAAAGAACGTTGCTCCCTGTGTCTCATGTCCGACTAAAATGGGCTGGCTTTCCATTCTCACTCGTCGGGACTTATAGTTTTTTTTTTTTT